CAAATCTGCATTTCTCTTCAGGCAGCCACCCAGATATAAGATGTAGATAAACTACTGTGTTTATGTTTGTCTCAACTCCTGTAACATGACCAAAGTTTTCTATTTCCAGTATGTTTAAAGAGCTGGGAAACCACAGGTCTCTGCCTGATATACAGTATATATATTGCAGGAAAAAAGAAACACAACGCCTCCACTTCCACACACTGGCCCTCCCGTCTGCGTGGAACAGGCTGAAGAGTGACTCATCTGTGAAGAGGACCTGATGCCACTGCTGACGAGTCCATCACAGCCTCTGTCTGGCCCAAGCCAGTCGGGTGTGACGTCTAGGAGGTGTGAGCAGAGGGCCTCTGACAGGTCGCCTTGCTCTGAGGCCAGCAGCACGGAGCCTCACTGTTCTGTAATCGATGCAGGCATTGTGTCTGCCGGCAGTTTCAGCAGCTGTACGGGTGGCAGATCTGAAACGATCTCTCAGGTGGACCAGTCTGATGTGTTGGTCCTGCTGTTGTGTGGTCACTCGTGGGCGACCGGATCTTGGATGGGTCATCTGTCCTGCCGGTCTGCTGAAAAATTCTCTGCAGTCGGGACGCAGTGGAGTGTCTGGCAACGCTGGCACATGACATGCCTACCTGCAGCATGCCAATGGTCTTCCTCGCTTCTGGTGACATTCGAGGCATTATGGAAGGCACAGAAAAGCGACTAAGTGTGGCCTTTTTCTTGCAGTGACCTAAGCTTTGAATTTAGGCCTTTTTTAAAAGTGACCTGATCAGGCATTGTTCCACTTGGACCTTGTTGGGTAAAAGTGCACCTAACGAGCTTTTGTGTGATTGGCGAGTTGCAGTGCCTCACTGCACAGGCTGTATTGCTGGTCAGGGGGCTTAAAACATTATCTTGACAACTTTTTGTGAAACTACATTAGCAATAACCACAGAATTCTCAGTCTAGAAAATGTTGCTTTTCTTTTTTCCATCAGTATATATTATATTGAGATCAACAAATATATTGCCATATCTTTAATTCCTTCATTTTATACTCTAGAATGCTCTTGCTTCTGACACTGCTTTTGCAAACCACATACTGTATACAGTGTGTGGGTTTACAATACTGTATGTACAGTATGGTTTATATTATTTATTGTGTAGTACAGAAAGTTCAATCAATTAGGCCAGCCACTCCTAGGAAGCTATATACTAATATTCACATTCTCCAGTGGTACATCTATGAAGGGTAACCACAGTACTTTGGTAACATATATGTGCACAGCTATTCACCTTGATCTTGAGCCAAAGGAAAAACTACATCTGTCATGTTCAAAGATGTCACCAGAAAGTGGAGAGCGAGACACTTTAATGAAGTGGAAAATGAACCTGTCTCTATGGTGACATCTCCATTAAAGAGGAAGGAGAATAAAAGCTGTGTTATGGTTGGTTTGTGTGCACCTGGTCAGCTAAAGACAACACAATCCATGTAGTGTTTACCATATACTTACATCTGTGTAATTTCATCGGTCATGTTGATGGTAACTTTACTGGGGACCTGTATTTACCTTGGTATTTGTGTTTTTTTTTAGCCCATACTGCTCAGGTGACATGAAAACCCAGCGCCCAAGGGCATCGACACGCAACACAGACTGATCTCTGCAGCACTGATAGACATCACTGCCGTCCTCACCTTTGTTATTCACTCAGGCGTTCATGATTTTCTACACTTTATTCCCAAGCATTAAATTACTGTGAATTTTCTGGAAGTAACTGCAAAAGTTTAAAGGCGACAATCTAGCAAGAGCTAATAGAGAACTGAGGTGTGGGATAGTCCCTGACAGTTCATAAAATACCCTTCTTCCAGCAGCACAGTTTTACTTTTCCTGCCCCAGTCAAAATGCACTGAAAATCCCCTGCACTAGCACAAGCATATCTAGCTGGCTGATGGGCGGTGAGGAATACAAGCAACACATAAGGCTGATGTGTGGAAGGAATGACAAACCACAAAACAGAAGCTGATTTGTTCACAATGTGTCAGAGCTCCTCTCAGCAGAGATCAAGGGTTAAAGGCCTTTCTCCAGGTTGTTATGGAGGTTGATGCAGCCACCTCAATAGGAACGAATGGTTGTTTGCCACTTGCTATGCTCATGCTAGTGCTTGAGCACTCTCTCCAATGTCAAAGAATGCCTGAACAGTTCTTCCAGTGGTTTGGGAGTTCAGAATCACGAATTATTCTTTGCTATAAACCGACCTGGCTCGGAACAGCCGTCGTCACTTCTCACTTCGCAGGGAGATTCCTCCAAACCCCCCCCACCAGGTTCAAGCCATTCGGGTTTGAACACATCACAGGCTGTACAACACCGTACACCAGTCTCGGTGCTGGCTGGAGGAGAGGTCCCTCACTGACTGCAGCGCAAGCCTAGGAGACGGAAGGAGTTTCTGTTGTAGAGAGTCGATTTCAATGTGTCCAAGGTTGGATAATCTCAATCTTTCCCTTAAGGAAGGTGCCAGTCGCATGAACCAGATACCTCAGACACCTGGATCACAGAGCTCCACCAAGCACCCAAGTGAGCCCCTTTACTGGGGGAGCTACTAGGGGACCCCAGGCAACCGTGGCTAGATTTATAATTACCCATGTCTCTCCAACTCCCATTCAATACAGCTCTGACTTTGCTTTCTTTACTTCTGGATCCCTTCAGCTACAGCTGAACCAGGCCCACGGCCTTCAGCAGCACTGCGGGCTCAGAAGAGCACAGCCACTAACAAGTACCCGAGATAACAACGTGCACGAAGGCATTCGATGAGATGCGAGAGTAATACAAACTGACTGGAATAAAGAATTCAACAAACTCATTGGAATTTGTGCAGGAATATACTGTAATTCCCAGATCGCCTGTTATCACAGTAATCAGAAGAAACAGTGTTTGTACAAGGCTTTGAATTGAAGCCATTAGTTCCTACCATCCCACTAGACTTCTCCCATTAACCATTTTCAACACCTTTTACATACCTGTATTTTCACCTCAATGTAATTAGGAACACTGGACAAATTATGAACTGGAGATCCTGATCGCTATGAAAATATCTGTGGTTAGGCATATGAGATACAGATTGTTACCTGTGGGAATCAGACCCTTGACTGCTCCAAATCTGATTAGCCTGTTGAAGGTTTTAAGATGGCAAAAGCTGACCATTTGAACAGAACATATGGGATATGGGATGCAAAGAAAAGTACATTTCACTTCCCAGGACTTCAGGTGAGTTAGTCTACAGCAATAAATCTCCAGTTTGTGTGCCGTTTAAACTCATAAGGGTCTGAGCTGTGCTACTCATGGCCATGTGCACTCCAGGGTCCAGTTGGTAATGCTTTATGGGATAAAATCCTTGTGCCGATATTTCACCTCCAAAGAACAACAACCACAAAAACTCTGGATATGGTCCAGCTCATGATAGGGACAGTGAAGTTATGATGACATCTGTGCAGGGGCAGGTAGGTCAGTGGGGTCAGAATCCCTAAAGATTCTTGTTTTGAGATCTGCCCAAGAATCAAAGTGGTGACATCTCTTCATCTCTGCAGCAGGAACTGCAGACCATTTTATTATCTAACGCCATGCTGGATCTTATCTTGCCAAAACAAAATTTTTCACTTTCAAAAGCAAATCAATCATGTCTAATTATGCAATTCTAATAACAATGTGAAATGGAAAGCACAAGATATGGCACATGCATTACTGATAGACATGTTCAGTTCTGTATGTTTTCCGTGCTAGTTAAAACGGATACAATACTGTTGAGGCTTGCATTGCAAAACAGAATTAAAAGCCACGAGGAACTGCATGGCATGGGAATGAGATACGCCAAAACAAACTTCAGTCTATGCCACAGGTACTACTAACTTCCCAGTATATTCACATACACACACGTATAGCAGACATACATCAAACTAGGGTATTGATGGTCATGCATCTTGGCAGCAATTGTTAAAACCCCAAATCATCCATTTAATCAGAGAAGTAGTATTTGTCTCCCTCTAAAAAGTTATGTCACCTAAGCAGGGATTCTCCTTCCTCTCCTTATAGTTTTTAGCCGTTTGGGCCCTTAAGTGGGTTCCTTAACCGCTGCTTTCTCTATGCCCTCTGTCTGAATCTGGTTCTTCAGGCTAGTGATGTAGACTCCCTCTGCCCAATGTTTTCAACACAGTCGGGCTGTTCACTGCAGTCTGACATGAATTTCCTTTTTCTGTAGATGGGGCAAGTAAGGAGTGTGTTATGGAGCTGAATTTGATTATTTTAATCATGACTATTCGAATAGCATATGTACGGAGGATGCATATGAAACCAGTGCATTACTCAGTGACCCGATACTGAAAAATATCCTGCACTCCTCAGCAAATTGCACCCATTAAGCTCGTCGTACCCAGGGGAGACTGGGAATCATGTGGCATACAGGAACAAACACTCTCATTAAATATTCATAGCGGATGAAGCCAGGAGATGGGAATTACTTTATTGGGCGACCTGCAGTCAGACCAGAACGAGAGACTTGAATTCATTGGCTGGTTAAAATAAAACTGATCTGGTTTTTATTGATCTAGTCTCACGGTTTCATTCAGCCAATCGGCCTCGGTCAGGAAGCAGCACAACTGAATTATCGTCTCTCCTCAAGCTGTTACTTCACCAACTCGCTTCTCGTGTTGTAACTGGAAACCGAAGAAGGCTTCACAGAATATTTCTCATGCAGTGGAATATGGGGACTGTAAAACAAAAGCTAGATATTGTTTTGCCTGAAAAACACAGTCGTGTGAATTTATTGTGCACCATGCATTTAAAAAGTGAATGATCATTACTGGTTTGACAAACGTAGAGCAGAAAGACTTGGTTTGTGCAATGAAACTTCAAGGTGGCGTTTTGACTGAGCTTTGCAATAGGGTAAGGGAGGATGGGAAGACTCCTGCCAGGTTAGAGGCCTATGGGAAAACCTGTTTCCAACTCCTGCCAAGGGAACTTAATGCCACAGAAAAGGTGTGAAAAACAGTTATAAAATGCTTTAATAAATAGTTTGATTTATTTCTAAGACAATGTCAAACAAAATTCCACTAACGAACCAATGACTCTGCAAAGCAACTGCTCTTTTGTACAAAATAATTACAACTCTTAACATTCACTTGGGTTTCTTCTTTTACAAATGTCTCAGTTAACCAGCTTGAATGGTGGGTAGTGTCTTTATTTTTTTTTTCTCCTTTTATCTCATCCCAAATATCGAAACAGGATGCTTGTTCTAAATGAGTGATATTAAAGCTTTTTGTTTAAAAAAAGAAACAATAAAAAACATTCACTACCACTTATGAGGTAATTCATTTCGTTTCAATTCGGTAGACAATTTCCATCCTGCTGCAGTACAGAAACAGCACTAACAAATGCTTAACAAAAAAATTGTTCCCTTCATTAGGCCTATCAGTGATCAGTTGCACAAATACATAGTATTACATGTGTGACATAGCAGTATTCACAAAGTAAAGTCAGTGGATGCAATGTCCCACACTTTTGAAGATTTGTAAGGAACTTATACACATTTCTCTAAAAACTGAAGCAGCAAAATGAGCCCAAAACAGGTAACCCATCAGAAAAGCAAACATATTGGTGTACATTACACAATCATTTAACTTATTTTAACAGAACAATGATCAATGTTTATATTAATGTTCTTACGGTAATGCGGGATGCTGTAAAGTTACACTTTTAACAGTTATAAAACCTGCCTTTGTCAACTGACATAAATAAAAGGAATGGCATTATAAAAAAAAATAAAAAAATGACTTTATGACTTGTCTTAAGTTACTAAATTCAAATATACACAGCGATTCCTTTAATATATACATATATACACATCTTGTTTTTTTGATCAAATACCTTTCAAAGTTACAAACAGCAGAGTTCTGAAGAACAGATCTTCCCTTTGAATGTTAATCGTAGGGCCTACTTTGACAGTCACTAGGCGAGGAAAAAGAAATGGAAAAAAAAGGTTCATCTCAAGGCACTTGCTACAAACACAAATACTGCAATCCTCATCTTAAGGAGACAATAGGGAAAAACAAAAATCGGAAAGAAAAAGGCCACTTTTCACGCACGGCTGCAAAAGCGCCCCACATGTTCTAAGGCAAATTCGGGTGAAAAAAGACCGACAGTAGCAACAAGTGTAACAAGTGCAGAGAGCTGCCGTTCAGTTGTTTCCTCCAGGTCTGCGCAGACCAGCGTCACACAAGCAAGGCCTCAACCTCCCCCTCAGGCAGGAGGCGGCTCTGTGCTTCTAGAAGAACTAGGACGAGTACAAACCAAAACTAAAAAGTAACATTCTGTAAACAAAACAAAAAAATACAAGTCCTCTTTATACAATTTCTGAACAGTACGTCGCACATGTAGGCCTCGTTCCGCCTCTGGTACAAATAATACAATTCGCTGTACATAAAAAAAAAAAGCATGAATATCAAAAGATTTTTCTCTGTGTCCGCACAGAGCCACAAATAATTTACAGATGGAGGGGAAAAAAAACAACAATACAAAAAAAAACGGGTTGGTTCAGATGTTCTTGAACGTCCAAGACGACGTGCATCACTTCCTTGTGCATGAGATTGAGCAGGCACGGAGGACGCTCCCCTGTTGGACTTTGTTCATACGCAATTGTCTTTGACTTGTTCGCTGACTGCAGTGTTAGTGTTTTTACACCTGTTGTCCTTGGGGTGGTAGGAGGTCCGGTGCGGCGCTTTCGCCGGGACGCTGCAGGTTGTGCAGATGATGCCCCCTTTTCCCTGCACTCCAGTCTTTGCGAATTTGTGTGAGGGACACTTCTCCACCTCCAAGCCCTCCCTCTCCAGCTCCATCTCCTCCTCCTCTTCCTCCTCCCCCCCATCGCAAGTCCTGTTGGGGGGGGACATGAGTTTCTTGCATTCGTACTGAATGTCTCTGTTGCTGCATGGCTTGACTATGGGGTTGCGGATGGGGTTCAGAGGCTCCCACTGATTGTTCACGCTGTCGTCTGCCGACATGTGGCATCTTTCCCTCTCTTTTCTCCTCTTCCTCATCCACCAGACGCAGATGACGAAGCAGATGATCCAGAGAATGACGAACAATGGGAGCAGCACATATAGCAGGTAAACTGGAAAGATACACCAACAATGCATGTTGGGAGAGGGTCAGTCAGGTGAAGAGGAGAACTAAGTGGCTTTCTCTGTCTAGACCAGGGGATGACAATCCTACTCCTGCAGGGCTGGGGTGTCTGCATGTTTTCTAGGTCTCTTAAGAGAACCAGCAGCTGAAGAACTGGAAGGAGCTGTTAAAATTATTCAATTGGTCATTGGCCAAATGAGCCGATTGGGCTTAAGAGAAAAGCTGGAAGAAAACCTACAGACACCAGACCCAGGAGATGGCCTTGTAAGAGAGGATACATTCTTTTATTATGAAATACAACCTGTCCCTGTTGCATTCTTGCATGATAAAACTGAACCTTGCTCCATGATAAATGTTTTTGCAGCGTGACAACATAAAACAAGACCCAGAAAGAAACTGGAGGACGTCATAAACCCTAGTTCAACAACTCGTCACTCTTTTTGTAGGAGAACATAGGTGATCGCAAAAAGGATTTCTCTTAACATGAGCACTCACCTTGACCAACGCCTCCTGGTTCGGGCTCAGGTTGCGCTTTGACGTTTACAATGGCCGAAAAGACCGTGCTGTTGTCAGCACGCTTTTTGTCTAGCGCTTTGCTGATCGTGCTGGCTGCTTCCTTGATGCGACTGTGATCCGGCTCGTCCCGCTCAAAGGACTGAAACGCAGCAGAGGGAGAAGAAGAGAGAGTGAGTGGGCTGATCTCTCCCTCATTTAGGCGGCTCAACAGGAACAAGCTATTATACCTAGGACTTGCTAAAAGGCTTAATTTGTGAGTTATACCTTGGGAAGAAAGTCAGAGTGTGTCTAGGTCTTAACCTCCAATGTATGATGAGGTCAAAGATTATCGAAAGTCACAGTTTTAACACTCTCGGCCCCAAAGGCACGGCTTTCACAGCCCTGTCAACTTGAAACACACCATGACCCCACCCCTAACCAAGCCCTCACCCCATGAGCTCTTCACTCAATCACCTGACAAATCTCTGTCCCCAGGTACAGCTCAAAATGACATGTTTCAACAGACTTAAGAAAGGCAGAGCTCTTCCCTTTCACAAGCTGTTTTCCTGTAGTTTTCTTTGTGTAGCCATTGTGGCTTCCTGCAATACTAGGTCAGCATATCACACAAGTATTTATTAGGAGCTCAAAATGGAGACTGCGCCTAGTCTAAATGAAGATCCTAACTAAAGAGGACAAAAAGGTTTAGTGTTACATCTGAAAGAGGCATACAGAGGTCGCTCATTATCATTAATCATGGTACTACAGCATATTACACTAATTAGTACCACTCTTCTTCAGACGCAATGCATGGTGTTCACATAAGTCATTTAATTTGCACTTGCTCAAGATTCTGTAATCACACTTGTCAAAAAAGAACAATCTTTTTATTATTAGTCCTCAGGAACAAAATGGCTCCGAGATCTTCAGGAACACAGCAATTCAGTAGCGATGTATTTTAAAAAATATTTGCAAGCTTACAGACATTTATATTGCATAAGTTTGATCATTGCCAACCGCCAATGCCAATTTTAATCCCAGATGACAAAGGAGGAGTAATAGATCAACACTGAAACTAAAAGGATATTAAGCCATTCTAGTGACTAAGGGTTGTTTGAGCACGGAAGATGGGCTCCTCTTCCTTGAACCTCTCTTACAGTGTGTACTTATGATGGAGGAAAAAATCATTTTTTAAAAGCTCAAAACACAACTTAATTGTTCTTAAACAATTTTCTTTGAACAAATGCACGTGCTGTTTAACTTCTGAAAAGACACAGCGGAAGTGGGTTTTAAAGCTGTGGGACACAGGGCAGGAGGAGGAGATTCAGCGGTCAGGAAGGACTTACTATGGCCACCTCCACAGCATCCTCTTGGGAATAGGAGATGTCACACAGCACTTGCAGAGTCCTCTCCTTGGCCACGGTCCGCGCTGCTGGCAGGTACCGCAATTCTTTACAGATGTTTTCCACGGTGGTGCCCTGCGATACAGGAGACGAATGAGCATGGGGCAGCTTTCAAGATAAAATGGGACATTCCAAATTTTTATTTCCTCTCCAAAGCAATCATGCCACATGAGTGAACTTACCATTGGCACTTTGTCTTTGTTAAATATCAAGGTGATTATTGCACAGCTGTTGTCCATGTAGTCACTGTTGGGCTTGCACTTGGTGTTTGCAGGGGGAGAGGGGTTCGGCGATGAGCAGATGCCCCACTGGTCACAGGGGGGAGAAAAGCAGGTCAGGTAGTTGTGCTTCTGGCAGTCCTGGTCTTTGGGGCAGTAGTGGCCATCCTGTCCTGGCACCCTGTGCAGAAGACATGGCTTGTGTCCACACAGCACCTGCAACACAGACAGCCAGGAGAGTCAACACTTGCTCTGGGTTGACTTGACTGGAACGAGAGGTCTTCCTGCTCAGCCAACAGTCCCGTTGTTTTTGCAGGGATGAGTCAGAGTCCTCCAACATAATCACCTTCCTGATAAGGAAGTTTGTGCACAAAGAGAATATGGCACCTCATTTTCATAAAGAACCAGCACAACTGAGGAGCACTTGATTGCATTACTGACAACAAACTCGGTGTGCAAGTCTACTTTGTTTTATGCATCAACTACAAATGGAAAAAGCAATACACCAGGAACTTTGGGAACTGTGAAAAGATTAATCCACTGTTGTAGGAGTTTTTAATTACAAAAGCATGCATAAAGGCATTCTGGATTGCACATCATCCCAGACATCAAGGATTATTGTGATCATAAAGAGCACCAATGTTGCTCGATCTTAATCAGCGTGACAGAAACCTGTGCTTATGTTATTAACTGGAGACCCTCTGTTTTAATGAACAGGCAACTGGGTTAGAAGGGAGAGAACATACAACCTTCAATTTAGCTTCACACATGAACAGGTAATTTAGGTGAATACATACATAGTGCTACAAGTTAGGCACCACACTCACACAAAGGCCACTGTTATGCCTTTGTGCAGCCTTCTCTTTGACAGGAACACCAAAACAAGTGTGAACATCATCTTTTTCAATCCAGCAGAGAGGTCAGACAATTACGCCAGCATACATTTTTCAAACAGTACGTGGACTACTAACACACACAATAGTAGAAAACAGTGCTGATATGATGGTATCTACACAGTCTTAGCCTTTGGTGCCCAGTGTTCATTTGCCACAAGCCACAATAAATCACAAGCCACAAGCAGTTACAGAGTGTATTTATTTTGTGGGGCTTAAACATTTTGCTGTTCCAGGCCTCTTCCCTGCAGAGCTCCCTGTTGCCTGATTAACTCCTGAGCCCTGTCATCATCATTGATGCTTCCTGCACAGAGACCTGTCTTTAAAGCCATGTTACACTTTATTATTTCACTATAATAGAGCACTCAGAGACCAGACTTCACAAACAGAAATCCAGAAAAATGAAGAGGCGTGCCAGGGATCAATAAACCCTGAACATCCAACAACCCTGCCTTGTTTTCACACTTGGTCAGAAGAAACATGCATGCAAGCACTTTTGAGAAGGGCTGCCCGCAAGTGCAACAGTGCTTCACCTACCTTGGTACACTCGATGTTGCCATCCACACACTGACAGGTGTTGCACTCCTCCTCCCAATGGCTGCCATGGGGAAACTGCAGCCCGGTGTAGCGGCACATCTTCCCGAACCCGATAACTACAGGAGAGCAGACATGCCCAGTCAGGCAGGCAGGCTGAGCCAGTGCCTCATCCAGTGTCGGAGGGAAACGTTTATGGCACCTGGTCTATCTGTGCAGTGGCAAGATGACCATCTTTGTCTTCCGTATGATGTGAAAAACGGTGTTCACACGACTACAGGACACAGTCAAATGACCAAGAAAAGTCTGCAGCACAGATGAACAAATCTGCAATACTACCAGCCGAGGAAATCACCCATTTTTTCTTGCCTAGATCCTGGTCAGAACTGATCTTTGGATCATTAGTGCTGCAGTAGGCTACATAAAAGTGCTTAATTTAGTCACAGTCTATAGGGCAGACCGGTGGCTCTGCAGCTAAGGATCTGCACCTGTGGCTGGAAGGTTGCCAGCTCGAATCCCATGGCCAGCAGAGGAATTCTACTCCATTGGGCCCCTGAGCAAGGCCCAAGCTTCTCTCACTGTCTGTGTGTCTCATGGAGAGCAAGTTGGGGTATTTGAAAAGAAATTCCTAATGCAAGAAATTGTATAGGCCAATAAAGTGATCTCTCTAGAGAAGCAAACAAGCAAACCCCCTCCCAAAACCAACTTACATTCTTGACATCGGGGTCCCGCTCTCCCAATGGGGCAGACACATCTGTACCCATTTATCTCGTCAATACAGGTTGCACCATATGCGCAGGGGGATGACTGGCATTCATCAATGTCTAGATACAAGGGACAGACACCATCAACAAATTAACTGATTTTCTTAACTGCATGCAATCAAGCAAGACAACATACTGTTCCCGTCATCTCTTCAGGGACTGCGACCCACACAATCACTGCGTATTCCTCCATGAGACCAAAGAAATATGATTGCTCATGGGGAAAACCAATCCTAAGTGCCTTCTGAGAATAAACACTATAAGATATGTCAAAGGAGTCCTCGAGTTTACACCTAGTACTCAACCGAAAAAAGTCACACAAGCAAAATGGAAACCACTATTTCAACTTCCCCTCCCCAGTGTAGGAAAAAGTTCCATTTTGTGTGAGGATGTAACAGTCTCAGTATTGACGAGCTACTCAGCCGACTTGTGTTTCATCTTTAGGGGATACACATGACCTCACTGGGCAGGAAGTACCCATAATCCCCCAACAACCCACTTCCCTCAAGGTACTTACTGATCCTGCAGTCAGGGCCAGCAAACCCAGGCGCGCATTCACATCGAAACCAGTTCACACCATCTACACAGATGCCACCATTGTAGCTGCAGGAACAAAACCAAAAGTCACCCGTCAGAACAAATTCCCCTTGTGGCACAATGACAGAGGAGGAGGAGGATCACAAAGGCATATTTCACTTCGCTAACACCGCCTTCAGATGCAAATCCAACCGGTCTCCGTGCTGAGCCTCTCTCGCCCCATGGAGAGGGGGCGGAGAACCGGCCTCCCCCATCTCCATCCCACACTGTCGCTCTGGAAAGGGCTTTTTAAAAACAGCATCTGGCCTGACTCCGGAGCCTTTTGTGAATTGTAGGTTTCACGTTAAGAAAATTGAACGCCGCGAGCCATCAAATGCAAGGATGATTTAGTAGCTGCCTCTGTATTTTAAAGGGGTTGTGCTTCCTGCGGGTAGAAAAAAGCTACAATTTGGGACCATTATGATAATTTAACATGAAGAAAGGGGAGGGTAAGCACTACAACTTGAACATACTATGAGAAGTCAAGTGCAGAAGAAATTTGGCCTACAGCATCACAACTGCAATGATATAACAGTCGAATCATTTAGACACAGAAACTCCAGTCCTAAACACTGGACTTACCAGGGGTGAGGGCTGCAGTCATTGATGTCTGTGGAAAAGAAGATAAATTATTAGAAAAAAAAATTCACTCATTTTTAAGCAAAACATTCAAACCGAGACAAAAGTCTTCTTTCCCTGGCATTTTCAGGTCCTGGAGCACATATCATCCGGACTTCGGATCAGATTTTGTATTTAATGAGTCATTATGAAAAGGCAGTACATTTGACTGCATCAAGCCTCTAGTGCATTATGAAGGAGCAGAAAAATGTGTACTTGTACACATCTGTCTTAGTGCATGCAGATGCAAGTAGGCCATTAAAAGTAATACGATAAGCAGACATTCTTTCAGAATCACGCTCCCACTGCACAAATACCACGACTTGTTCAGGTGTGTCTGTTCATACACCGGAAGAAATAAGGTCATCAGGTGCATAGAGGACCATCTGCAGCAGAAAATGTACAGCCTTCTACATTTCAAGAGTTCAATTCTGAATTTCCCTGCCCTTTTAAGGTAAAGGACACGTGCAAAGGCTGAAATAAAACTATTGTATATGTTAACCTCCAAGCCCCTGTCGCAGCAGGAGACAGATGACATCACATTCTCAATAGCTGCTGGGAGATGGGGCAGTGTACTGGGGGTATTGATTGTTACAGCACCATTGTTAACGGGTGTTTAACATGTCACTGATCCAAGATTCTTTAGAGCTGGCCTGGTCACTCCTATCTGAGTCAAAGTTTCTTCACAATGTGTTTGATTGCACAATTATCTTGGTCTAGAAGGGGATATAACTATGTAATTGTATCTCAAAGTAAAAAAGTAAAAGCCGTTGTTTTTGTTGTTTGTTCAAGCAGCAAACTATCAACCAAAAGCTACTGTATACTGTTACAAATTTACTGAAGCTGAGAAAAGGTAATCCAAGATGTGCATCACAACCCCACACACGCACACACACCAACCTCTCAATAGTTGGCTTTAAGACAAATTCATGAAACGTCAATTTGGGTTAAGCGCAAGAAAAAAAAAATTACCAAGCTTTGCTTTTTATGCAAGTCAAGTCATGAAAAGGTGAACTCCACCTTAAAAGCTTAAACGTTGGTATGCTACTACAATACGGAGGTTATCCGCCGAGAAAAACCAACCACCCACTTTCAAAACGCAAGCTCTCTCCATGCCTCATGGAACTTTCCTTGCCCAAAAGCTATGCATGCCAAGCAGGCACACTCCTGCAAAGACAGTAACTTGCAACGCAAGGAGTTATGAAGATGCTGGCAAATGAAGTCTTACTCTGCGTGCAGGTGGGTCCTTCCCAGCCTTCCTTGCAGATGCAGGTGAAGCCGTCGCCCCCGCCTACGCACGTGCCCCCATTCGCACAGGGGCGCGACGCACATGTGCTGTTCTTTGCTGGAATTCAGAGAACAATTTGTTTTTTCTTCAACATGGGGGATTCGAAACAAGTCAACTCGCAATGAAAAGACAGGCGATCATTCCTCACACTCCGGCTCGCGCCGAGTTTGAAATCACTTTTCGTGTTAACTAAAGATGGAAACCGACATTCCAAAAGTGTGTGTGGGGGGGAGGGGAGGTGAAGTGATTATCAAAGATTGTAATTCTTTTTAATTATGGGTAAAAAGCCAGAACAGCTGGCACTGAAGATACATTTAATAGTTAGCTTCAAAACTGAAGAGCTTAGTGCAAGGCAAAGCACAGCTAAAAAAATGGCTCAAGTACAGTTTGTGATCTTAGGTTATTTTTTCCTGCTCTTCTCCAAAAGGAATTGGTGAGATTCTCCGATTTGTGTTCAGCTTTCCAAGAAGTGGAAAGGCCTGATGCCCGGTACAGGTGAGATATATATGCGTGTAGAACTGTTTAGTTCGCCAAAATCGTTTGTGTGTTTTCTTTTATTTGTATGAGAGAGAGGTTGAAGAGAGAAGGTTTGGTTGACACTGGTATCTGTAGAAGGGGGTAGGAGGAGGAAAGGAACTGACCTGTGTTACAGGTGCTGCCGCCCCACCCTGGAGGACAGGCGCAGCGGAAGGTGTCTCCATGATCATAGCAGGTGCCGCCATTGCTGCAGGTATTGGCATCACACTGACTTTCACCTGCAGAGGAGGACAGGTCAGGGGTCACCACCGGCAGGATTGGATGACTGATTGTTTCGGTCAGTTAATAAACATCTGGATCTGGACCCACAGAGGAGCTCGCTGGTCAAACAAAAAGCGAAACGGCAAAAAAAAAAAACTCACGCGAATGGCAGGTCTTCCCTTTCCAGTTGTCCATGCATTCGCAGTAGAAGTCATTCACCAAGTCCACACAGCGGCCACTGTTCTTGCAAGGGTTGCGGTCACAGTCATTCACGTCTGAAGACGGTACAAACCAGCGATTAATGAACAGGAAAAAGCCTTCCCAGACAAGCAAAGAGGTTAGGGTGCGGACACTCTCTTACTGAGATCACACAGCTCTCCTTCCCAGCCATCGGGGCAGAAGCACTGAAAGGAGTTGACGCCATCGATGCAGGTGCCCCCGTTCTTGCAGGGACCCGAAATGCAGTCGTTGATGTCTGAGGAAGGGGGGGAGAGAAAGAGAGAAAAAGGCCAGTGACAATACAGCGGATGCGGCGATAGAGGTTTCGGCATTTGCAAACAACAGCAGATCTCCACGTACTTTCATGGCAGTAGATCCCCGTAAATCCCTGGTCACAGGAGCAAGTGAAATTCCCTCCCGGCTGGCTGATGCACTGTCCGTGCGGGCCGCACACGTTGGAGGAAATGTGGCGCACTCCATCATGGGTGGTATTGGACGCGACGGCTATCGTACAGCTGTCGATAACTGGAAAGGAAGAGGCAGATCGATTTTTGCCCACGTAACCTGCCCACCTGTAAAAATATAGATCTCAAGGCCGGAACTCCATGGAGGACGAAGAGAGCTCGGGCGATTTGAAAATCAATCAAACAGATGGATCGTAAAGCTTGGCCATGATGTCACAGCGGCTGAGAGTAGGACTGCTGGGTAATTAATATAAAGAGAGGCAGAACAATACCTTCGCAGGGGGTAGTTTTGCAGTGGTCCTTCAGATCAGAACAGTTCTTTCCCTCGTAGTCTTCTGGACAGGCACAGTAATAATCCCCAAAGGAATTGTGACAAGTAGCTTCATTCTGACAGGGGTTTGGGTTACAAGGATCGCTTTTAACCTGAAACAGACAATGTCACAGTTACATCAGATAAAGCCTGGAATTCAAATCCTTCTAAATGCAGAAGAGAGATCTCGGGCAGAGGCCTGTAATCCCATTAAAAGAAATGCAGCTCTCCAAGCCTGGGTCTTAAACAGTAAACACCTGAGTTTCCTAGGATCCACCAGCAGTCTGGTTAGAAGCTGCAGTTGGAGCCCAGCTGAGAGGCTTCAGACTGACTTGCAGATATTAAATCACGCCACTTCTGTGAGAAACACGGACAGCTCTAAAGACAGGCTTTTTTTAAGTTACTTTCCTTTAACAAAGCAAAAGTACGGACCAGGCAATGAATCACATGCACCGTGGTCATATTTCTCCGTTTTGCAGGTTTTGTAAGTCACACATCATTAGGGGAAAAATCCTCAACTTAAACAAAACTTGGAGCTTATAAACCATCAAATGCAGTTGTTTCCTTTTATGGAAATCCTGCACTTCAATAATCTGTCACTTATGGCTGGTTGATGAGATCGGTCTAAATGTCTGAGCTGTGGGTCTTTCAGATGCGATACTGGATTCTTTAGTATTAAATATCTCCTGAACTGTCAAGAGTGCTGAGCCCCTTACCGCTTCTCCTTGTGAAAATCGCACTAGAGAACACCGCGAGAGGATTTTTCGCTATACTAATGTGTTATAAATAAAATGTTGCATACAATTTTAAAAGGTTGCCACAGAAAAACTGCAAAACAAATTGGCATCAGAAAACTTAACATCCCACAGATGTATGTTACACCAACACCAAATTCTCTTTATCGGACATTTGTTTTCATACAGCTATCCCAGAAATGGCCCTCGGATGACTTCTTTCAGACTGAACTCCCGTGTCCTCATCCGAGAGCAAGTGGAGGTGTTGGTACGGATCGCTGAGGATCTGCGCAGGGCACCTGTGCCTTCCTGGGCGCCGAGAGGGCAGCCGGCCAAACTCTCCCTAATAAAGTTGCTTCATCCACTACAACCTTATTTTTAGATCCTGCAGCGAGCCAACAGCGCCTTCATGAATTACACAGAAAGTGCCACCCCGCATCGGGATCATTCGTTCCCACAGCTGGACAGGTCAGAGATCTGCCGACGACAAGCAGCCGTTTGGTTCAAATGCTCATTGCGGCCTCGGGATAGAAGGCGTTACTGCACAAGGCCGCGTTTTCAGCTGACTAGCAACAGCTTTAAGGTCGTCGTACGTATGAAACGGCTTCACAATGAAGAAGCGGCAGCCCGCTGAGCTGCGGCCTAAGGCCTAGCGCAGTTCCCCACGCCCGACCCCTCTGGCCTACTCACCTCGCACACATCTCCGGAGAAGCCTGGCGGGCACTCGCAGAAAAAGCCGTTGGACAGATCGTGGCACTTGCCCCCGTTCCTGCACAGCGCCCCCGGACACTTGCTCCGCTGGACCTCGCAGTGTCTGCCCACGAACCCTGGCAGGCACTGACAGCGGTACCCATCCACCTCGTCCTGCCCAGGGAGAAAGGAGAAACGGGCTCAAGGGCCACCCTCTTTCGGCGAGACCCCAACTTTTGAAACCCTCCAACAGCCAAGGGTTGTGGAGGGTTTCGAAAACGCAATAGCAATAAGCGGTTATGAGCGATGAAGAGTGGTAAAAATCCGATACACACGGGCTGAAAATGCTTCTGCGTGGCAAGGAAAAACACAACAAATGTAATTTCAAATTGCTATTAATAAAGAATTTACCTGGCAGGTTCCTCCATTCTGACACTGTCCGTTGCAATCATTTATATCTGAAAGTGAAAACAAACAATGTTCCTGCAATGCCAGACACACTGGTGGCCAAGTTAAGACTTTTCAACATGCAGTCAGCTCATTGCAAACATGCCATCTCAGTGCCTCAAACAGGCAAACCTCTGTTAAGTTTGTAAAATTCCAAGTTCAATGTTATTAACTGCATGCAACAAAGCTGCCCTTGCAAAAAGCCTGCCTTCTGCTCTACCCTGGACAAAAGCCTACAGTGTGCGCACATCTACTTCACACACGCAGCCCCAAACACTCCCTGGATATTTCACTGGGATGTTTTCTGCCTCCTCACGCAATTGAAAATATGGCTTCTGTGTGCTTCAAGAACTGTTTTTAAAGCAGGCTTTGGAACACTGAACTCTTCTGTGAAGTAGTATCTGTTTTCATCGATAAAAGCTTGTGGAAAAGTATAGCAGCAAATAATGGATACTAACTGATTTCACAGTTCTGTCCAGCCCATCCACGAATGCAGGCACAATAATATCCACCAATTAAATTTTTGCAAGAGTAAGCATTAAGGCAAGGATCCCCCATACACTCATTAGCATCTGTAAAGTAGAGAGGAAAATGGGAAGAAAAACAGAGTAAGACCACTTCCCAGCCCAGCCACCCAACACCTGCAAATCATGCATGGACTGCCTTAAGAAACAAAAGTTAGGGCACATTAGAGATTTGGGAAAATTGTTCCCTGCTCTTGTTTTACAGCATTTTATGGTGGAACCACCATTCTGATAAAACAAGTTAATTATTTCCATCCAGCTGTTCAAGGCCCTTCCAGTGGTGAAGGAGTACCCCATTACTGAGGAACAGCTACATTTAAATATCTCATGACACAAAAATAAAGACTTGTACCAGAGAAATGTAAGCTGGCTTATTGAACATATGCCAATGGGCTACAACACCTTTAACTCCCATGAAAGGCATCATGGTCATGACATTTTAAAATATTCAGTAGGGGTTATCAATGTGCAAATTATTTCTCTGAAATGCACCTGTCTTTCAATGACACATGATATCCATGTTCAGGTAGTGACTAATGCATGAAAGGAGAGATGGGGATATAATTTAGGCTGTAAAATAAAACTCGGGCTTGAATTTATCCCGAAGCTTGTTTACAGGTTATAGACCATTTCCTTTAGGACTCCATTTCCTGAACAAATTGCACCCAGAGTAGCAGAGGTACTTGAGACATGTCTATCCCCACTACCCAATCTGTACCCAGAGATAACCCCTTTTATTTTAAATTTAGTCCCAAGGCTAGCAGTTGCCAGGCCATGCATTATTTATAGCTTTCCAAGTCACCTGGATCAGGTTTCAAATCATACCCAGCTTTCTCCATGCAGCAAATTTAAATTAGAAATGTGCCATAATATAGGCTCAACATGGTGAGGAAAAACAAACCACACAGCAGTCCCACTGATTAAGGCCAAATATTGAAACAAAACAAAACCGCATGCAAGCAATTTCTATAGATCTCATAACGGGCTTTATTTTTAGCTGCAAATACTCACTGGTCTAGAGCAGCAAAAATAAAGGCACATCTATAATGCGAGAAACAGCACCCACAGAAGGTCTTACCCAGGTGGCAGGTTGTTCCAGACCACTGTGGAGGACAAAGGCATTCAAACCCATTCTCCTGATTGATACAGGTTCCCCCCCTAGCACAGGGGTTGGAGGCGCACTCGTCCACATCTGAAAGAAATGCCACACTGCTCTGACTGCCCGCTCGCCAGTCAGTCACGGGAGAACACCACAGCCCAGCCCAGCAGAACCTTCATCTCAAAGATGTCAACACACTGCAACCAGAGATGAGCTAAACCATGCCGTTACTACACAACCAGATAGATTCCAAGCTGGTTGGAAAAAAAAATACAGATGATGTTTTGGCCTATCATTGTTCACATTTTGAATAAAACCCAGATTAGTTCTCGTGCTTTCCAGATTTAGAACGTGCGCAAGGTGTATTACGCTTAAATAAAAAAAGTTAAACTGGAAAGCCTTCTGGCTCCTCACAGTGCATGGGAGCCAGTCTTATCTAATACATTAAAAACAACTCTAAAGCCTATTTCAAGAGCTTGTCCACAAGAAAGAGCATCCAGAGCTATTATAGTCCCTCACTGGCAGAGCTCCAGATAAGACTCTTAGCTTTTGTGAGAAGATGTTACTGTCTTCACACTATAACATGATTATCCTTTACATAATCCAGGCCTACAGATCAAATGCTATTAAACACAATCCTTACACTTACGATAAAAGCACAGAAACCCAATTATGGATAAGTGTTCCTTGTTCGTAGAAAATAATGCAACAAAACAATTAAGAAATGGTTCTTTAAATTAAGGTTGAACAATTCCAGTGTTGGTGAAGCCAACATATTGCAAATTTGTTAAAACCTAAGATAGTACAAAGTCAGAACCCCATCTTGAGATTCCCAGTTGCTGTGACAATGCAGCTGTGGCCCCAGATGTGCAGGGGAGAAAAGCAAGTACTAGAAGGCACTGGAGGAAGAGACCTTAGCAAAACATAAGGTCTACCGGGTAGTACTCCTGCACATACATGTATATTTGGAACAAGGGAATGAGTGCAAATTGAACTCATGTCTAAATTGATGATGTCAGTAGTGATTCGTTTAAATCCCTCAGCAATAAAAGTACATGAATGTCATCATGTTTTTGAACAGCGCTTTTAAATGACGCCCCTAACATCCAACCCCCTGGCGCAGTCTGCAGCGCATTGTAATTAGTAGATGGTGAGCTCAGTTTCACCATCGCAAGAATGGCACGCGTAAAGACGTCAAGTACACTCACCATTGGCACAAGTGGGCCCACTCCAGCCTTGGGGGCACTGGCACTCAAAGCCAGTTGGGGTCACGTGACAAATGCCACCATTTGCGCAAGGGTTCGATGCACAGGCGTGTTCAGCTACAAATACAGGGGTTAAAGGAAGAAAGTGGTAAAAGTTTAAGCCGTTACAATCAAAGAAAAGGGGAAAAAAAATCACAGAAGACACATGAACACTTTACTCTCAGATATCCAAGTCTTATCTAGAAATGTCAAATGATTAGCAGGTTTATGCAAAAAAAATCTTAGAGATTTAAATCTCCTGATGGGTTTTTCACTGTATGGATCATGATTTATAATGGACCTCTTACCAATTTCGCAGTTTTTGCCCGAATACCCATCAGGACAAGCGCAGTCATACTCATCCGGCTCGGTGTTCATACATTTGCCTCCATTCAGACACGGGCTGTGCGTTCCACAGTAGTTCAAATCTTCATTTCAATGAGGGAGGGGAAAAAGGGCGTTTAGACAGGAGGGACAAAAAAAGTAATACTGCATGAATCCTGTCCCCCCCAGTCCCCCCCACTCAGACACCCCACCCCCTCAGCTCTGGCAGCAGAGCTCTGTCGTTAATCCTCCCTGCTCTGGAGAGAGGCCACACGCAGACTGATATCAGCATGGGGCTCTCCAGGGCACGACACACAAACCATTAAAAGCGCAGAACACACTGCCAAAATCCATTCTTACCTTTTTAGGCAAGAACCCCCATATCAAGACATATCCAGCACAAAAAACGACCACAGAAAACGGCAGGATTTATGTACGTAGCATTTAACAGGCTTGCACAAGACCTCATTTTGTAGCAAGCTCGACTGCAGCGTGTTCAGCTAGCAGGGAACAGCTGCAAGGGGAGCTGAGTGCAGCACAGGGCACTGCAATGAAATTGTGCAAAGCCTGCATGTGAGGAGCACAGTGGAATGACTGCCCACTGGCACAGCAGTGCTGGGAAAGGCTCGGTCCTACCTTTGTTACACAACAGCCCTCCCCAGTTCTTCTCACAGTTGCACTGCCAGGGTTTCACGCAGGTCCCGTGCATACAGCCAGGGTAGGGCAGGCACTCCTCACAGAACTGGCCCTGCCAGCCATAATGGCACCTGGAAAAGCAGGAGCGCCAATTAAACCCGGCCCTGCAGCACGAGCACAGCAGATGGGGAAACTTCCAGACTTAAATTAAATGTTGCCTGAAGAGCTGCACTACACCAATAAAATAAACACTCAGTTGTAGCAGTCCCAGCTGTCTAGTCTGTTCTCTCTGTACCCATTTTAAAGTGCCTCTCTCTCTCACTCCAGATGCTGGTGGGGGAAAGGCAAGATTTACAAGGGCTTTCAGCGGACACTCAAATAAAGGGTGGGTTTCGTGCAGCTGATGGGGTCCCCTGGCGCACATCAACCCTGCCTCTGCAGCACAGTCCAATCTTCTTCAGTTCTGGAAACACTGCCAGGAACGGGGACGTTAAAATTAGGGGATGCTCTATGCATAAGGACACAAACTAAATATACCACTAAACTTACCAACGAATCCTTTGATTTTCTTCAGCATTTTAATAGCATGTTTGAATTGTGTTCTACCAACAGCACAAATAACTGGAAGCCCGATTAAAAATTAAATTGATCTTATTCTGTACACTACATCTTTGCACCCAGCAAGAGTGAAGATTTCTCCATTCACATATGCCAGAAGGTCACTCTAGCAAGGAAGGAAAATGAGGCTCTGGCTGTGCTTGGTGTTTAATTTGAGTTCTCTCAGGCAGACGAGTCTCAGGATCATAGCTCAGTCAAGTCCAGGACATCCTCTACTGCTCTGGAGTGTTACTTACGGTTCCCGCAGTTTAGTGATGTGGAACCGCAGTGGAAAAGGCACAACACCAGGATCCACAGGACAGGTGAACAGAACAAACCCTGGGATATACTGTACTGCATATTTGCCAAAAGACTCAGGGCTCTCTATACATAACATGGAAGGCTTGCGGCCAATCCTTAAAATAACTTCAGTGATGCTTCCAAAATAGCCTACTGAAACCAAGCACTCCAAATCTTTATTACGGTCTTCCCACATCTGTGCAACGACACTCAAGACAAAAACGAAATACAGTACAGTATGAAAGAGGTCGCTTGGATACGCCTTGAACGGCACCACACGGAAAATACATTTGAAAGGCCTCTTCCATGTGCAAAATGACCTCCTGTCTGCGATACGTTATCGCCTAAGCACTTGCCTCTGGGTCAGCTTTGTGCTTCTTCCTACTCTTTCCGACTACAGCCTTCCGCCAGAATGGAACTGTATTCTGTCAAATGTAAATGCTGAAGAGGGAAGAAGGAGCAGAAGAATGGACTCCCAGGTGGCCTTGACTATTCATCATGTTTGGATGTCAGACTGAGCTCCTCAAGGGAGGCCACAGCCGGCCAGCAGCGACAGCGCTGTTTACAAGTCAAAAGGTGACCGTGTGGGACTCTCGCTCGTGGTACGGAGGGGGGAAGGGAGACAAATCAGTCCTTCCTGTTCTGGAGGAAGTCTTGATGCTTCCTCGATTAACAGGTACTAAACATAACCACGTCTCCATTTCCTGGCCAGAACGGAACATCATTGACTGAAGCCTTCAACATGCCTGATACAGGAACACGCTGCTCAAATTCTTTGGTTTTCCTTCTTAGGTTGAATTATGTGTCAGTTTCGGAGAATTCAGTCAGACTGTTATGAGTAACAGGATGCAAGCATCCTAGTTTTGTTCTAAATGCAGTATTTTTACTTTAGCCATTTTGCCCACAAAATGCCAGCATTTTGCCTGTGCTTGGTTGAATGCAGAATTTGGCAAGGTCCCCTCACTAGGCATCACATTCTCCAGCACCCACTCATCGTTATTCACCGAGTTGCTCTGCTGTTGCAGGCATCCCAAGCACATATGCTTCCTCCTGTAGGACAGACCTAGAACCAGCTCAGTATACAGCAGAGCAATTACAGTATGAAGGCACCGCATTGCAATGATCCAATACAGGTGGTTAGAAGACATGCTTACATGGTTGGATCTAAGCAATCCATCAAATCACAGAGCAAAGCAAACTCCCTTTTCTTCCATAAAACGGAATATAGAACGCTTGTCCGAAGATCAAAACATACCAAGAAGCCTGAAATTCAGGTTTTCAAAAGCATTTCCCGAGATTAAAATCAGACTTTTTGTGCAAGACACCTTGTACACATCTTGGGGGAGAGTCTTGAGCTCATCCGTTTGAAATGCTTGCAGTGGAAACTCTGTTCAAATCCTGCTTTGCTGCCACTGTCTCTACTCCAGACCCTGTGGAGCAGAGGCTCACTCAGGGAACCAGTGATCTCTTAGCCCTTCCTGTTGCTGAGGAAGAGAATCCTCCTCTGCACACACTTCCAGCCACAGCGCCAGCCAAAACACACCAAAGACAGGAAGAGCTAATCGGAGGTACTGACGTGGGCAACACTGACCAAATGCATCAGTCCAGGAAAGGGGAAAAAAAGCACGACTGTATGAAAAAAACAGCCTCTGTTTTCTGTGGAAGTGAACAGGATGGTGCATACCAGCACAGAACAATGGCTTTCTATTAACAGCATTAAATCAGAAGCCATTAAGGATCAGATATTATGCAGAAACTACAAGACACCCAAGAACTCAGTTATTCCAAGGTAAAGTAAAGAATATCTTCTCTCCTTTTGAGCTGTGCGAGTATTTATCTTTTTCCACATTCATATTGTATTTATAGTTCCACAAATCCAAATTGTAGCATTTTACTTCCCTGTGTTTGCCCAACTTCTTAAATCTGTTAAGAAATACATTTAAAATTGGTAATGGCAGCAATTTTCCTCCCCAGATTTCTATAAAACATATCGATGGTTTTAGAACATTAAATACAACATAATGAAAGAATAAACCAGAAGGCTTTGCGGTCTGAAACATTTACTTGAATCCAATGGAGATATGAGTATATTGTCCTGGTTTTATGAAATGAAGGTAATCAAGCACACTCACTGGTAAGAGTTTTAAAAACAAAAGCAATTAATCTGGAAAACAAATGCTTCTGAAAGGTTCAGTGCAGGCACAGGGAGAATGCAGAATGAGGCCACTTTATGACTATGTCCACAAAGCACCTCACCCCTGAGCCCACCTCTAAGCACACAGAGACCATCTGTCCCTAAAGCAGAAAGAGCAGAGGTGAGGAGAGTTGAGGAGCACTTTTAGGTGGTGACAACGCAGCTTAGAGAATCGCCCATCGAGACTCTGTAGCCCTGGCCCTTGCCCCAGGGCATTTCCAGCAGTCTGGCGTTGTAGATCTCTTGTGTTTCTGCCGGGAGCCCATCTCTCTCCTTGCAACTCATTCCTACATGAAAGCATTCCAGAGCCATTCATTTGCAGGACTATTTATTGCTGCAGCTGCTTACATTCAGCAACACTGATGCTGCATCTTGATAATCGGGTCAGTGTCTGCGAGCCTAAAGACCAGTCGAAAAAACCTTCTGACTCGGGACGACAGAGTTAACGGCGCTTCAGTAAAAGAGCACCGGGTCAGCCCAGCCCAGCCCAACAGCGTCTGTCTTCTGCCAGGCATCGCCGGAGACCAGCTCTGGGCAGCCTCCACCCTAGGGAGGCTCTTCGCAGGTGGGTATGAATGTTTCATGTGCAGCCCATGCAGGAAATACAGCACTCCACCTGGCCTCCCAGACAAGCTAGCTCCTGTGCAAATTAACGCTAAAACATTCAATGACTCGGGAGTCGCACAGAATTAACAAGGTGTTCCGATATATTCAGCATCAGTATTCACAAAGTCGTTAAACGCACATTAAGCCACCTCAGCTGTTGAAATGCTAATTAACACGTGTCCTACGTGAGCTCAGTACCCACACCACCACTGCTTTAAAGTCTCATACCAAGCGACTAATAACTTGTAAAATTGCATTCTTACGCTCCACTTAACCGATGCACAGCAAGTCTTGATAGACCTGGTTAATACCCAAACCAAATGCAAATTCTCCAACGTACACATTAATCCGTAAGCCGACAAGGATGGGTTACATTTTTTTTAAATAACGGCAATCTCAAGTACACTGCAATCTAAAACAAAAAAACTGAAGGTTGAACTTACGTGCATTCACCTGGCTTCTTACAAGTCCCATGAATCAGGTTACAGCCTTGCTTACAAATAGCTGTGGACAGGAAGAGAGAAAGATCACCTTTGGGTTGCTTTGCTTGAACAGGTCTAACTTGCTCAGACAATGACAGAACCTGTGATATTGAACCTTTGACACTAAACACTAACACTTAGTTGCCCTCTTGCTTCCTCTTGTAAACCCACATTACAGGCATATAATTTACTGCCTGATCTCCGAAGGACTGCCATCCATCTCCTATAGCACTGCCCTTTCTAACCTCCCTCTTACATGTCAGCCTAAAGCATGATGCATATTTCAGATCATTTTATTAGCTTTATGGGAAGCAGAATGACAAAACGGGAGACACGAGGAGAAAGGCAAAGGTAAAAATAAAACCTAGGGTTATGTAGTGGTCCTGGAAATTACTGCAGGCTCTAAGAGTGACACAAAACTGAGACAGGGGTCAAATTCATGAGCGATTGCACTAGCTTAGAGGCTGGAGTCCAAGAGCTCTTTGTGAAAAGGCAAGGCACTTGAAGCAAAGGCCAAAACCTGTTCTGTGCTGAATTAAAATGGGCTCAGCAGCCTTCTTTAAGAACTATGCCTTACATCTAGAATCTTAATACACCAGCTCAAAAAAAGGAAAATCAAGCCTACTGTTTGCAGACCTCCACCTTCATTACAGAGCAAAAACAAATCTATCGACCCCAGACTTCTTTATTTCTTGGACCAACTCTGTGAAAGCATTCTGAAGTCCCAGGACAGTTACCTATGTTACAGTCGGTGCCTCTCCAGCCTTCCATACAGAGCTTGTTCCCAAGCTGATCACAGACATAGTGGCCAAAATAGTCATCTCTGGGTTTGCAGTGTTTGTTGCAGGCTACACCGTAGTAATTCTCATCACACTTGACCCAGATTCGGTACTCAAAGCTGGCGATGGGTCCGTTGTGCTGAAGCGTCTGTCCATCATCTCCTGGGTTGATCATCCCGATGTGGATGGCTCGTTCAATGAGCAGGTCGGAATCTAGATGTGCAACGGAAGAAAAGAAAAAAACAAAGCCATGACTGCATGAGGATTTGCGGTTTATCTGCCCTATTCCATCCCCAATCTGTTTAGGCCTTACCCACGAAAGTCAAAAGTTGAAAACAATCTCCTCACAAAAAAAACACAGGGTGTAGCTCAGGGCTGCAAGAGTTTGATAATCAAACCCTGTTTCAGTTTCCCTGCTTTGTGCGTCGCTTTGCAGGAAATCCAACCAAAAGTGCTTGGAGCCAAGGAGGAAATAAGAAGAAAGTGGAACAAACTGAAATCGGAAGGGCCTTTTCTGTTCACAAGGCAGTGAAACCCCGACCCGCCCAGGACTCAAGACAGAAATACAACCAGGCTGCAAGACAAACCCCTCCACCCCACCCCCAGCACTGGCGTACAGAACAGACACTTGCAAACAGGGCTTCCTGGGCTGCTCTATAAAAGAGGAATAAACAGACCAGATCAGACCACCACAGGGGTACAAAGCAGGAGCTGCACAGTGCTGCAGGGCCGGATACCAATATTTTAACAGCAGTCACTAACGGGCCTGGCACTAGCTTAGCCTTCTCTAAAGGAAAAACAGAAGCAGTTTTGAAGATGTGCGTGGATGACCACCAGCTCATCAGTCAAGACTGACTTTTAACAGTTTCTCAGTGATTCTATCAATTGGTAAAAGCCAAGGAATCCTGCAGACATTAAAAAAAGGGCTTCAGTAGGACTAAACCTACTGTAAGGCTGTTACATCATCTGCACCAGAAAAGACTTCTGATTTTCACCACAGAAATGGCTAGTTTCTAGTCAGTTAGTCCTTTCAAGGTGACGTGGGTTAAAAAACAATGTTAAGCTTGGTGAAGACAAATTAAATCACACACATTAGCGGTCACTTATGAGTTACACAAGTTGTGTACAATCTTGCAGTTTCACAAGTAGCTCTCAAAAGATTGCTGCCTAAAACAAAAACTGACCACAGACAGGATTTCACAACTGGGATGCTTTCGGAGAGAAAGTCAATAAACCAGACAACTGTCCTCATTTTAGACTTGCTCATTCACGCCCACGTGACAGGCACAACTCTGTCATTGAAAGTGCTTTTGAGCTCTTAAAATTTACTGGATAGTGCCCGAGTGTTACCCAGATATTTTTTACCCACTTGTACCAATAAAATTCATGCTGCAGTTTTATTTTTTAATTAATTAGTCTAGATTACCAGAGTCATAAAAATGCACTGCAAGGTTATTTTTCTTCCTCTGTGTGGATGCTATCAAAGTAAGAAACTTCCACTTCACAATTAGTAGACATTATGAAATGGTCTAACACAAATAAAACAGTGGTTTACCATTTCCTCTACTGACCACCTCTGAAAAAAGACAATGGTTTCACTCTAGCTTTCCACTGACAATGTTGGTCAAATTAAGGAGCAAAAACGGAAATAGCTCTAGTGTGCAAATAAAGGACAATGCAGCACAGTTTTCTCACATTCTTCTGGTCAGAGTGTTTCCTGCAAGGTAAGTGTTTAAGAGTCTTTCCTGTTCCCCAAGCACCCCAAATGAGGTTTCAAAACCCCAAATCAGCACCGCAAAGCTCTTCTACCACCTTAATAAAGGACTTAAACTGAAGCAACTGGACTGCCATCATGTGCACATCTTCAATCTGAAATCCTTTATGATTGATATATCTTATATGCTCATATTACATAAGCCATGGCTGAACAGTAGGTAATGGGAAAAGTATTTATCTATTAAACATCAGTGTGAACAAAAGAGTCAAATTAAATGCAACACAGGCTTAATGCAGACTGAAAACTACAAAGGCAAACTGCCCTCCCTGTTGGTTTTAACACATCAGACACCAACTGTACAACTAGTCTTGCGCAATCTCCTTGACAAGACCTCTGTTACATCAGCACGAAATGCACGACTCAGAGTGCTAGGCTGATTAAATAAAGTCTCATTTACACTTGTTCCCTCCCTCATTAAAAACAATCAGCTTTGTCTTTGACTGAGCTGGACAGGACTAAAATTCAGGAGGATCTGTTCCATACATTAATTGCTACTCTGGCTCTTGACTTCCACTGCCCACCAATGTAAAGGCCCAAGCTGGTAGGGCTTTAGGGACCAAGGTGGGTCCACTATATTCCAAGAGCCCCCCCAGTAAGCCTGGCTATAGTCTTTAACAAAACCGCAATCCACTCTCAAAGCCCAACCCAGCCTGCCTACCTTCTAAACAAAGCACTGTGGTGAGCAGAGGTGCAGAAAATCACTCTGAAGACAGGACGGCCACAGTACAATAAGGCACTGCAGCGACCTTAATAGGACACCACGGCTCTAGAGCAGAAATAAATACAAACGTACTGCTTGAGGAGCAAACACTGGGATTTCTGACAGCTAATGAAGAATATCCTGGCAAGTCAAATGCCTTTACTGTAAGGGTAGTAGTTAAAGAGTTAATGCTTGAAACAGCAGAGAATTGGAGTGCTTTCAGGGCTGGTTTTCCTTTATAATGGATGAAGTGAAGAGCCAGACAGCATAACTATAAATCACGATGAAGCACAAACTGGAGGAATACAGAAATTGTTCTCTTTAGTATATCCAGGCAAGTCTTCCCATTGCTTGTAAAAGAAGACCGACGTACCGAAGCACGTACAGTACAAATTTCAAGGGAATACATGGAGCTAATGTAACAGTGTAGATGTAGGAACGAAGAAACCTTCCATCTGGTTTCATCAACGCAGCCCAGTGATTTAAATTAAAAGGCGTTGAATTCCAACAATCCTCTTCTGGTAAGATCTCAGTCTAGAAAAGATGTTCCAACACGGAGTCCCAGAGGGTGCTGAGCTAGTGCACAGCCAGTTCCTTCTGAAGGGAGTGATCTTCGCCATACCTCACAGGACCCAGATTCAGGAACTGCGGTTACAAGCTATTTCATCTGTGTGCATTCCTGAGTAATTTGCACAGTTCTGAACCAGACAGCCTCCTGGCACGATTGCTCCAAGGACAGAAATTGAAAAAGCAACGTCACTAAACCGCAAGATAACTAGCACTCACAAAGAGAAACTGTATATACCTGACAGCTCCCCCGCCCTTTCTGCAGGCTGTGCATGGTGTGAAGCGCGTCAGCTCCGAGCTCAGCGCGATCGCTTGGCGCAAAGCTTACAAGCTTTGAAGCAGGAACGGATTTGTTTTCCCCAGACTGTTCAGAGAAAGCCACAAGATGCCCTCGCATTTGAGATGAACTGCCACATCAAGGGGCTGCGTGCAGTACACCCATGAAATGGGTCATCATCTTGGAATGTGGGAATCCGACAAACGCATCAAGGCTTTCAAATTCGTCAACATTGATTAAATACTCGGCGTGCCCATGAAACCTTTTATTTTTCAGCTGTCCGCAAGCAACTTTGTCACCTTGAAACTGAGAAAACCCAGAATGTGAGGATCTTGAACACTTTCTCCACCCTGCAGGTCCACAAGTCAAAGGTCCTACAGCAGTTTACAGTAAGAATCCGAGAACACGCACTGTTTACGCTGTACTTACATGCAAATCCAAACCGATTGGGGAAAAGAAATGTAAACCTTAACTTGTAACACTCAGAAACGTCCATGCTTATTTATGCAAGGCAAAAACACGGAGTAAACACATCTACATTAGCAGGTCCAGCAGGAAAAGAAGAATGGGGCAGAAGAGGGTGTGCTCAGCTGGCGGGGATGTGGAAAGAAACAGCAGCAGCAGCAGCAGAGCAGTTCCAGCCACAGCATGACAGTGCAGATGCTGGCTGGGGACCCACCACCCACCCTTACTCACACCTGGAAGACAGTCTGGCTTCATCAGCCACTCAACGTTCACCAACCAGCACGGCTCAGACATACCATCACAGACGAGCACAGGCAGTGTTAAATCATGACAGCACGCAAGGTCACTGCAGAACGGCTCGCCCAAGGGGGGGGGCCGCAAGACGCAGAAAACAAATGAGGAGAGACTGTTTTCCGGAATAATACTCCAATCCCAACGGCCAGCTCCTTTACAGAAGGGTTTCGATCTTGTGCGCCGATAAATAGAAGCACAACTGAGCTGTATTAATCTCAGTCTCCCTGGCCTTTCTCAGAACTGCTCAATTACGGACCAGCTGCTGCACAGAAAATACCTTGGTAGTTTCATTAGGGAACACCTGCTTTGCAGCTATTTTAGGCAGGCATATTTCCCATCTAGCCTTACAAAAATACTTCCCCAGTCCCAGCCAGTACCGGCTCAGTCTGCTGTACTGGACACAAGAGATCAGGCAGCCCTTACTTTATGGCTTTGGCACGCCCATGTTTTTCACTAGAAATTCACTACTTCTTTTCAATTGAGCCTCATACAAGAGCTCCATTTCCATTTAACAAAACTGTTTTTTTTTTTTTGCTCCATCTTAAGTAGGTCATCCTTAAGTTGAAAAACCAGCAGGGATTCTCTGGGATGCTAGAATTGGAAGTCCTTCTGTAGTTAGTTTAGAAATGTATAGACTAGAATATATAAACAGTGCACAGTATATGGACACATTGTGTGAAATCCTAATGATTTTAAGATTACACAAGGTTAATCAAATCACATTCAAATTGCATTTCTAAATTCATTCTTTATCGTACCTGCATGTTTTTGGTCAAGAATTACTGCCTTTATCGAGCTCATTTAAAACTCCCGAGTCAAAAACATTTTTACATCTTCAGACATGAAACAACCGCCTACCTCTTTACATAGATTGTATTCCTCAATTAACTTTTTTCTCCCGACAATTCTTCAAAACAAAACGAGCATGAACACAAACAGACACCAGGATAATAACAGGATACAGCTGCATATCAGCAGCACCATCAGAGCCCCAACTTCAAAACTCCAGCAACCGCCCCTCGTCTGCTTAAACTTAGCACAGCTCTGGCACAACCCCGGTTTCCGGGAGACACTTAGAGGAGGTCTAAGCCTACAAGGAAAGGTCAAGAAAAGATTAAAAGATTCCCAAATCTGCAGGAATTCAGATCGGATTCTAGTGCACATATAAATACTATTTATTACCAATCTGTTCTCATCTTTAAAAAAAAACCAGGATGGAGATTGGGAAGTGGAGATGAAGACACTGCTCCCCGTCCTAGACCAAGACGCTCTGCATTGATCTGGTTATCCATTCCATTGCTCAACATTAGAGCGTTCTGTAAAGTTCACAGCTCTTCATTTGAACGCCTTGCTTGCCTTTTTACAACAGTCAGCTTTAAAACACTAGAAAGAGGTTTGAATTTAGCATGAAACCTATGCCAGGCGCCATTTTGGCTCTTTTCTCACTGAAGTTTATTGCTACAGTGCCTTTAACAAATAGGGCATCCAGTCGCAATACGACCACTTATTTTGAGAGTATCTGACTGTCATTCTCATCATTCAAAGTTAAACAGTCAAATTTACGAACCTAGAAGTGAAATTTCGTAGTTCTGTTCACTATATTTCTTGATAATAACAGAGAATAGATTAACGCCAACAGCGCAGAAAAATCTAATCAGTTCAATTACTTCAATAAGCTAAATTGATTAAGAGCTCAGCTGGAATTAAAAGCAGAAGAGACACCCACACGAGCAGCAGGATTGAGACATACTAATTCAAGGGTTTCTGAAGCAGGGGGATTTCCAATCCATTGTATACCAAAGCAGTCTTATACACCAATAGCACTGTAAAGAGTTTAAGGAGTTAGGAATAAAATCCCAGACTGAAAGGAGTTAGCACAGCCTCTTGAGAAGGTGAGAAACCTGACATGGCACACTCACCCACCCCCACTGATGTGACAGAGAAATGGCCAGACACTCAGATCACCACCAAGACACTGTCAGATTACAGCAGTATCACCACACACTCAGTCAACACTGAAACACATCAGGATACAAGTGTGCTCAGACTCTTTGGCAGGCCTCTCAGATAGGACTGAAGTGGCCCAAAGAGATAGTTACAGACTTGGCATCTCACACCTCTCTCTCTGCAAAGAGCTCCGAAGTTACCACAGCGGAGTTCACCCAAACCTCACACTACTAGTCTTCCGTATCCGATTCCTTAAAATGCAACAGCTTCTTAAAAACAGCTAACATTCATGACATTTCAGTTGAATTTAAGCTTGTAGAACGGCCATGCCATCAAACAGAATAGTACATAAAACATTTTATAGCCACACCTGCTCTGTCTGTATTTTTCCCCCATTTTAGAAAAATCAACCTCTTCACAAATGACTTCCATACAGGAAAACAAATAATTCTACTTACATGAAAACAATATACATTGAATGTGCCACACAGTCTACATTAAGGTTCCAGTTTTTAAATAAGTGCAGTTTAAGTACCAGTGGAAGGCTTGTTGCTCAGCCTCTATGACACTTTCTGTTCTAAGAAATTTGACGGACCCATGCATGTTGTACTAGCAAGTCTGGGCAACTCTCGGTTTTCTCAATTTTCAGAAATGCAGCCAAGAAGCCAGGGAGAATCTGATCCACTGCCTTTCACCTCACACACATTCAGCTAGTCTCCATAGTGTGCTCACTCCCACCAAAGCATACCGTTCCTGGTCTTTCAGAAGCCATTAAAGAGGTATACTTACTGCTCTTTGTGTCATTGTCCCAGTCCCAGGCTTCCAAGATCAAGGTATATGACCGCTGTAAGCAAAGCAAAGGAGAAAGGTCATCAGCCCAAGGTTCATTTTGTTGTCAGATCAACCAATTTGTCCGTTTCATGCGTTAAAAATGAGTCTTCCTTACAGAATTTGAGGAAATTCATATAAAACAAAAACCACACCAAACCCTGCAACACAAATGGTTTGCAAGTGACAACTTACAGCTAATTTTGTGATCTTACACAAAAAGGTCACATCTTCATTCACACTGCAAAAAGAGCCCATTGCTGAGGTCTTCATTTTCAACTAAGGCCAACATTTGTAGCACAGAAAACTCTGAACATAGCAGTTTACATTTTAGAATTGATTAATACAATTGCATTAAATGCTGCAGGACACCATACTGTATTAAGTGTGAAACCTCAAACCTGTTTTTCACCCAGCCAAGAAAATAATCTGAGAACCCAGCCATCTTATCTGTCCCGAATAAGTCACCCCACAGAGCTGTATTGATGTACTGTATCGCATCTTCCTCCTCCACCACACTAAATACTTCAGTGAAATAGAAACGAACAAAACCCATATGAACTCATTACTGCTCAGATCCATCTTTAGATTGGCCAGGTAACATTTTGTTTGAAAGCAAACCAAAACAAAGGTAAGAAAATCCAACATGCAAAACTTTTTAAATATTCAAGTGGAGAGCTACTCACAACTGAAGAAGGCTCAACAGGTAAAACATCGTGTTTCTCCTTTTCCTTAAAAATGTTTAATGCTTAGCAGGAAAAACTGAAAGCTGGACTTCGTCACCCATTTAAACCATATGTATAAGGGAGAGGTATTAAACCCACTGACCCTGAAAAAAGTTCCGACTGGTGCTTTTTCAGAATGAAAAACTCTTAACTGAACCTGTACTGTTCCCCCTGACTTGAAACCACAGTTCAGATTAGGATTCCCAAGAACAGGATTTGGAATCAGGGTTTTTTTTTACAAAACAAAGAAGGGGACTGAAAAAAGAGATCTTGAACAGAAAAGCAGGGTGCATTTATAGCCATAAGATACAAGAAATGGCTTCGTTATAAAGTAAATGTGCTTGCTGGCTTGGTTTCAATGGCTCCGTTGAAGGCGTAACAGATGTTCCTTATTTGACATGAAGACCGTCCCAGGACACGGAGGCCTCTGACCTGCTCCTCCCCTCGCTGTCTGCTGGGATGGCAGAGTGATGGGTCCCTAGCTACTGCAGGACAGTGCTGCTCCCACACACTCAGCCCTGATTAGCTGGATTAAGCGACAGCTGCCCACTTCAGGGGTAGAGGAGACTTCCAGAATTGTTGGAGGCCGTATACATCGCTTTCAGAGCGGACAGAGGAAAGGCCAAATTTCAAAGGATTCGTATAAAAAGATCTATTGTCAGGCTGAGGAAAAGTGGCTTCTTTGCCGAGCAAACGTTCTTGTATTTAGAGAGCAGTTTCAGGAGCAGTTTCTTTTAATTTAATATTAGGCCCATTTTGTGAGAAGTTAGCGTGCAGGTCTACCTCCAAGATAAAAAAAAAAAACCAACAGAGAAACTGATAATTAGTTTGATTATTGGAGGCATGCAGTGTAATTGTTTAGGCTTGGAACCAGAGAACACCAGCTTGCAGAGGCAAGCACAGACCGCAGCTGGCTTCCCAGCCACACTAACACTAACAACAGGGTTTCTCTCTCCCCCCCTTTCTAGACTGCACTGCTGTGGGAGCCTGCAGCACAGCTTACAGGATCAAGTGTCTGAAAGGGACCCGATTTCTGGCGTGTTGTAGAACTCCAGGCTTCTATGTCAATGGCAATCCAAGTCTCGAGGTGTTCGGCTTAAATCTGCCCCACAATACACTGCAGCAGCTCTGAGATGACATCTCGTCACTTGGCTTCACACCTTGACAAAGGAAGTGAAGGGACCGAAGGAACTGCAGCGCATAGCAGAGCAGTCAACAGAATTCAAGAGGAAATATCAGGGATACCTCCCCGACTCATCAGGAATAATCAAAAATTACCATGAAAAAAATCAGACCAATTGCAGTATTCAATTTTAACTGGAAGATGAATAAGTGATCCCCCCCCATGTTCCAACACATAGCAACTCCTGTGACAGCTCAGGAGCAAGTCATGATTTCAGTTTTTTTTTTTTTTTTACAAAAAAGAACTACTGAAGAGCAGCCTTGTGAAGCTACGGTACAGGAAAATCGGGCAGAAGCGAGTGCAATTTTCCACAGCGTGTGAAGTTTTATGATAAGGATTATGAACCCCCGTCCGGATACATTAGCTGAAGCCAGGCTGGGCAGTCAGCCATGGCTGCAGTCTTTGAGTACAGTCTCCGGAGAGCCCTGTTATCGGGCTCGGGGGCAGCTAACGCAGACACGATTACATGTTTTCCTGCATTTGCTGCAGGACTGTTCCGAAGGTACGGTATGCTTATCCGCAGGCAGTGACAAGGGTTTAAAAGGGCGGTGCGATAGTTCTGCAGACAGCCCTATAACCAGTCCTCCCATTCCAGCAACCCTGACTGTCCTTTAGAAAAATTCCCCAACGTGCACAGTTGTGCCAAGCCGAGCTGGAGCGACAACAGTTCCAGAGGAGGTTTCTTTTGATTTGAAAATGCAAACCAGTAAGATTTCGGGGAACCCTGTTAACTAAAACTGGGATTTCTAAGTACAGAAGAGGATGCTTTGTGAAATAATAAAAAAAAAAAACAAGAAAATGAAATCACACCAGTTCCTTTTGGGCGGTTACATGAGGAAATAGGAAGCAGAAAATGTATTTCCCCCCCCATGGTGATTTATTACATTACAAGCCATTAAACAACATCAGTTCCTCTACTCTTCCTTTTCCAAGGTTAAATTGTCATTCCTCTTGCTCTTACGATTTTGCTCTTACTCCAGGTTTTTGGCAGCTCGCGGTCTCCTGTGCAGACCGAGATCTCACTAGTATCAAATGTCACAACTCCTTCCTGGCAAGACCCAGAAGGAGAAAAAAAAAAAGAAGATGCTTGAAATCTGCAGAGGCTGCACATGCACAAAAAACGCACTGTCCGGCATTGTGATCCCACCCTCCCCGCGGCGGGGCCGGGTACAATCCGGATACACTGCACTCTTCTGTTATTTCATTCGGGACCGCCAAGGGTCACTGACCTTCTCATCGACTGCGCTAACTTCTCACCATCACTTCCGATAAAAGCCATGCCAGGCCCTATCAGTGCAACTGCAGCCACAGCTAGAGGTCTCACACGGCCTTATCTTCCAAAGCAGCACGGCAGAGCTTCCATTACACAGCAGATCCACTTTTGCCTTCTTCCTCAATTCTGTGTGGAGCTCACAAAGGGATGGGGGAGAGGTGTGTGGGGGGTAATCACAGCTCAAGGACTCTTCCCTTGGTGCAATACATGTCAGTTTCCTGTACTGGTCCTTCAGAGCAAGAGGCTACCAAAGATGGCTGCACAAGGAATCTCGGTGACATTCAACAGGAATGATCAAAATTAAAACAGTGCAGACACTTAACTGGTTTGTCAATAACAGTCATCTCTGAATAACACTCTTTTCCTGACCATTCTTCAGTGGGAATGTATATTAAAAAAAAAAAAATCTATGATCCACTAAAACCTTGCATCTCCACTTCCCTTTCAAGAGACAACAAGGGTTAGGATTCATTTCCTAATTTCCATGCAGAGTATCCACATTTACGGTTAACTGCACAGGGAATTTACTCTGTATAAAAAAACCATAACTACATTCTAGAAAAGAGCCATTGGCTTGAGTTCAATAACAGGGGTACATGCTGAAATAACTTTTTAACTGAAATGCAAAAGAAGCAGGAACATTGGTGTGATGCCCAGACAGAGAAAGGTGGAGCAGTGCTGATCAGAGCAGCCATCTTCCAGCCAACTTGAAGCTGAAAACATTCGATTTGTATGAACACGTCAAATGCATGATGTGCACATTTCAAAATGCCAATGGGATATGGGCATAAAGAACAGCGTTCAATCTGCCAAACTCCCACAGGACAGAAAGATTGAATTTGACTGCCAATGAAACACTACCCTCACACCTCTAAAGAGCTTTCCCCAGCCTGGGCCTGCTCAACATGTGGGCCTCTCAAGCCACTCCATTGCATTCCTTTAATAGAAGGAGTTGCTGAATTGCTATATGCATCATGTTAATTGAATTTAATTCAGGAGCTGACTGTAGCAAACATCTGCAGAGCAGTGGAAGGGCAAAGGGTTGAGTAGCTCTGCCCTGAACATTTCTGTCAACCAGCAGGGCATGAACAGCCCTGGTCATGGACTTACAACCTTCAGAAAGCCACTTAACAATAAAACTGTGAGCTGGCAACTGTATGTCCTAAATGAAATGTGGTTCCATTTGCGATTGCCATCTTTTCTGAGCAGGAAGATATTCCAGACATCAGAAATATTAAAAGCCAACTGACTAAATGGCAACCTTTAATTAAGTTTGAGGACTTGTCACCACAGAGCCAATTAGGATATTATGGAGGATTGTTTGCCTCTAATTAGACTTTGACAAAGGCCATTCCCAAAGCAATATCATCACCCACTGAATAAAAGATGTGAATTAATTTCCAATTTTCTGCCGTTATTGGGGAGGGACCATCAATGTGTGCTTTAAGCTTGACAGGGCACTTTACTGGATTCAGTGTTCTGATGTAGTCGCGTCTGCAAGATACTGCAAGCTGCAACTAAAATAAAATTCTGACTGCAGCATCTCATCTTTGTATGTGTCAAAACCGCTCAACAGTCTCTCTCAACAATCCCCCTCCCCCCAGTTTTCTCACTCTCTCCAAGATATTAAAAAACAAACAATCCAGTCTCTTGAACCATCATTGTTAATATAACACGTTATTAACGGCACACACCCACCTCTTTTTAGAAGCATCCTCATCTGCATCAAGCACGCATTCCACAGAGATTTATGCACAGTGATGCTGGCCGCTCACATTTATCAATCAAATGTGAGAATTAACAAAAGGATGGGAAAATTTAAAATGCAGATCGGG